GACATCTTTACATCTTTTTATATTTACAGTGTCTTCACTGCTGCTAGTCATGGCACTTTTTTCCGCATGTGTTGTTATTTTGCCCTGAAGTGACAAGCATGTGCAGGTGGATTCCTTGACCATTTACAATAGACTTTGCGCTCGCGATCCCTTGGTGTCAAACGTAACTAGGTGACCATCAACCATTTTCTTAGAGGATGAAAATAGACAAATCATTGCTGACGCTTCGATCCAAGTTTATGGAGAAAAGTAAAAAGCGCTGCAGTGTTTGTCTGAGGTAATGAGTCTACCATTATTACTGAAATGTGTATATTGAATACAAAGTGCGAAGCAGATTGGTTAGTTCTACTTATATGAATTGCGGTGCACTCTGCGCATTCGAAAAAGTTCAGATAGTTTTTACATACTTTAGGTGCAGCTGGAAAATGCGTGTTGTTCAATTGCGCGCCCACTTGTTCAACACTCCCATATGTGCATCATGCAAGTCGTGCGCCTCCAATGGAAATTACAAACTTACACTCCAAGCTTATTGCCATTGCTTCAAAGGCGCTACATTTTAATAAAACTATAGCGCTTCATACCGAATCTACATACCAAATCTTTTTTATTGATATTGACAATGGGGTTCAGCCAATAAATATCAATAGCGATTTTATCGCCCAGCCCTATTTTATTCACATTTACAATGGAAAATATTAATTTTCATTTTAATGAAGTGTGATCATTTGTGAATACTAGCAAGATTTTTTTCAGACACTTTTTATGCATTTTAATTAGTAAGTGATTAGCAAGTAGATCAATTTAGTTGCTAGGTTAAAATTTAACTTTTTAAATGACAAGTACAGTTATAGGCAACGCAGTGGCGCAGTAGGTAGTGCTGTCGCCTCACAGCAAGAAGGTTGCTGGGTTGCTGGTTCCAGCCTCGGCTCAGTTGGTGTTTCTGTGTGGAGTTTGCATGTTCTCTCTGCATTCGCGTGGGTTTCCTCCGGGTGCTCCGGTTTCCCCCACAGTCCAAAGACATGCAGTACAGGTGAACTGGGTAGGCTAAATTGTCCATAGTGTATGAGTGTGTGTGAATGAGTGTGTGTGGGTGTTTCCCAGAGATAGGTTGCGGCTGGAAGAGCATTTGCTGCGTAAAAACGTGCTGGATAAGTTGGCGGTTCATTTTGCTTTGGTGACCCAAGATTAATAAAAGGACTAAGTCGACAAGAAAATGAATGAATGAATGAAATACAGTTATGAACTTTGCAAGTTAGAGACATTTAGTTACCAAATTGCCTCTCATTATTTTACTAATTTCAATGGTATGTCAGCTTCCAGATTCTTTTCGCAATTAAAAAAAAAGAAAACTGTGTAATGATGATGCTGTGGCAAAACTGTGAAACTCCAAGCAGTGGGGACATTTTAACTACAGACCTTAATATGTCACATTCTGAAAACAGGCACAAGTTAACCAGAGAGGTTTTATTTATAAAGCAAACCCTTCACATTGTTAAATATTGTAACCCTGTCCTTTATGTGGCCCTGAAAAATCCAGACACCGGTATCCAGTGTCACACATCATTAGATTATTATGGTTTGGATGGTAGAGAACAGCCATCTAAAAATGCTTGGCGTACAATTCTATTGAAAGACAATCTGCATAGCAGAAGCTAGAAGGACAGCAGCAACGACTCGGGCACTATGAAATCATCATCATTTAGGCCTGCTTTACATGTTACCATACAGTTAAGATTTCATGCACATATGCTTCCCAACAAATGTTACCCTCACCATCCCATTAAAGTGGGAAATAAAACAATGTCCAAGATTAGATGTGCAGCATGACATTTAAACTGCTCTGCGCGTTTGGTGGATTCTCTAGTCCTATCAGAAATGCATAACTGGTTTCTCTAAAAGTTCATTTTGAGGGTGGCAAAATAGCCCTCTGAATTATTCATGAGGTATTTTGTGCCTTTCATATTGCTTTAAGGCTTTCAGATTTGCATTTCTTTAACATGCCTAGGAGAAGTCCTTCAGTGACATGAAGTATGAATCTTAAAAATATGAAGGGATCAACCCTTTTAGGTATAGCTCTCGGATAGGTACATTACTTGATGAGGAAGAGAAGCTCCCTGGATGCTCCAAATGCCTTCAAAGATGTAGGTTTCTCGGAGTACACTGTGCAAATTAGCAGAACTATTCTATCCAATTCTGGAGACATTTACCTGAGGTGTTTTGAAAAACTCTGCCCTAAAATAATGGCTTGTAATGAGATGTTAAAGACTGTGATCAAATACACATTAGCCTTTGAAAGAGCTTATGAAATACACAGCTTGACTGTAAACATGTAATTGTACACACACACACACACACACACACAAAAAATGAATATGATTTTTATTAAATGCCAACTTATCAGCCTTAAGGGCATGTCACAGTCAATTGAAAGTGTGACCATTTAAAAGTGTGCTGAGGTGAAGCATCGGGACGTGATTGATGTTACGAAGGTTATGGCTTTTGGTAAGAAAAGCTAGCTTGAGGGGACCAGTCAAAGACTGTGATTTGTTACATTGCAGCAGTGTAAAAATTAATGGGAAGATCAATGTGTACATGTTGTGTGAGTGACCTTTATTGAATGTGGGGCTGTGCAAGATTTTCAGCCGTCCCTTGCAATAGAAAGTGTTAGATTGAGGTGACAAATGATTGTGCTTTTCAGATAAGTAAATTGACTATGTTTCTTTCCTAAATTTATGTATGTCTGTTTTGAATGCATTGAATTGCAGTTACCAGGGTTGAAGTAACACATTTTATTTAAACAATTAGCATTTTTTTATTGTGTCAGAAAAAAAAAAAAAATCTTACTGCAAATGTAAAATTTCTACAATCTACAGTCTTAATTATCTAAATTAATGTAAAGTACAGAGGCACTTTTTTGTGTTGCTCAGAAGTGCATAATAACGCTTCTATTAGTTTGTTTAGAATTGTTTTCACTAATGAAATATGCAAAAACCTATTTAAAGTTGTTTAAATATGTCATGTTATATAAGATATAATAAAAAAGTTATTTTACTCTTGCTTAATTTATGTTATACAATACTTTTATATCATGTAATTATCAAGATCACAAACATGCACACTTTTTCAGGACATTTATATTCATTTTGGGTGACATTTTGACACAAGTGGCAACACGACAGATCAGTGGTTAGAACTGTCACCTCATAGCAAGAAGGATGCTGGTTCGAGTCCCAGCTGGGTCCGTTAGGATTTCTGTGTGGAGTTTGCATGTTCTCCCTTTGTAGGTTTCCTCCAGGTGAAAGTCCAAAGACGTGGTATAGGTGAATTGAATAAACTAAATTGGCATTAGTGTGAATTGGTGTGTATGGATGTTTCCCAGTACTGGATTGCAACTGTAATGGCATATACTGGATAAGTTAGTAGGTCACTCTGCTTTGGCTATCCCTGATGAATAAAAAGGTCTATAACAAAGGAAAATGAATGAATTTTTGCACAATTGTTGTTCATTTCTGACCAATTTCGGAAAAAAAAATTAAATCAGGCATTGTGTAGAAATATATTATTTTGACGTATCTTAATGTGTGATAAAAACAAACATTGAAGAGATTATCTTGTTGATATGGTTCATTTGAAGAAATGTGATTTCCAAGCATGCATGTGCACCACTTATGCTCATTGGAAATACATGCCTAAGCATACATTTTTGTAAAAAGTAAAATATGTTTCGGATGGCAAATTGACTAAATGACTTTTAAAGAATTTTGAAATATTTAATTAGAGTACATTTTGTTGTATATTTCAGATTCATGTCATTCATCATACATATCAACAAGCAAGTGGGTTTTGTCATACATGTCACCTAGTGACAAAACTCAACCAATGCTGATTTTAAATCAAATAGATGCGAAAAAGTTGCATTACTTTTATTTATTTATTTATTTATTTTTTTGTCGAACCGTCCTTCATTAAATACTAAAGTAAAATAATATTTATTTGCAAAGAACTGTACAATTTATTTTTCTCATCAATAAATAAATAAATAAATAAATATCTCATTAGTGTAAAAAGGAAAAAAAAAAGTTATTGGCTTTATCTGCCCCGTAGAAACTTTACATAGAAACAAATTTATATGCAGACAAATTTATATTTGTACATTTTTGTGGTTCACAAAAATAGGCTGAATGCAAAACAACTTAATATTCAAACTTTGGTGAAATCATAAATGAGACAAAAATTTCAACCATTTTTTTTTCAAAGTTTTAGTATTTCTCATTACAGTTCAGTAAAAATGCCATCTTCAGATATTTGCGTGAATGCATGATTGAGAATTCAGTTCAGTCCTAAAATTGACAGTGTGAAAGCTAAGTGAACCAGAAATTAACCATTTCCTTTTTGAGCTTGGACCAAAATAATAATAATAAATAAAACACTACAACTACAAGTGTGAACATACTCTTAATCTGAGATGAGACAAATGCAGTCAATACCAGGAAAAGACCAAGACCTTCTTAAAATGACAACCAATTTACGCTTCACCAATTTGCTTCATTTCTGCTTCATAATTTGATCGTCAATAAATTAATGCAGAAATAATGTTTACAATAATTGATATTCCATTGGCCACAATCTCTTTATTTTATGTTCTTCATTGCATCAATGGTTCCATGAAGAATGCACAACTTCCCTTTTCTATTCCACCATATGTACTTTTAAAGTGAAAAATATCTATCTATCTATCTATCTATCTATCTATCTATCTATCTATCTGTCTGTCTGTCTGTCTGTCTGTCTGTCTGTCTGTCTGTCTGTCTGTCTGTCTGTCTGTCTGTCTGCGCATTAGTAAAGTAAATGAGCTATTTTGACGTTGGACTTTACACGCAAACTGGTGTTTATAAGCAAAGCGAACAGTGCCCCCTTTTCCTCTCAGGCGAGCGGCGGCGTTGGTGTGAGGTAGTCCGCTGTGAGCGCAAGCGAGCGGGGCTCTGGCTCCAGCAGCAGTGCGGCTTTAAGCTGATGAAGGCTGTGAAATTTATCGCTGGCTCCTCCTCCCGCGATGATGTCAATCGGAGGTGGAGAGGTGGGCAGTACTAAGGAACTGAGTTCATACAATACAACAGAGATTGCTAGAGCTCTGCGTACAACTACGGCAAAACGCCTATTCCAGTGTGTGGAAGTGATGCTGCACATATAAGCGCACTGTCCACCTGCTTCGTTGCACTGTCAGCCCATGAGCATTTCTCAGAATAGACGAGTTGCTCTCTATCACTCTGCCAAACCACGGGATGACATTAAAATGACGTGTCCGGGGATGTTTTAAATGATTTACAAGTTCTGTAGCTGTTAATTAAAGGCACAGAAAGAAAGAAAACAACTTAACCAAACAGTTCACGTACATGCGAGGAGCATTCTCGCGCTTTCCCGTGCTGACTGTATGAATGCACTGAAATAAGAAGTACAAACCCATTTGGAGCAGCACCATCTCTCCGCGCGCGTGGGATTCAAGCAGTATCCAGGCGCGAGACATCTGAGGAATTACATCGTCTCTTCTAAAAGTCATTCACAAATGTTTTTCACTGTTCGTGCTCGGACCTTGGACTTTTTCATGGACATGGATCGTTTTCTCTAGTTGGATACCGACTGGTCACTATACGTGAAGCTGTTTGATTCTGGGATTTTCTTCAGTCTGCTTCACGGCACTTCATCTCCTCCAGCAGTGATGCCGCTACGTGACGGGAATTGAGAGTTTCCATATTCACTGAGAAATCCGAGGTAAGACACGTATTCCTTATGCTCATTTATGGCTTGTTTTGCTACCTTAAACATTTAAACATATAGTGGAATTTGACATAGCTCTCTAATTTGTGACACGACCGGCCGTACTTTATTTAATGTCTTTATAAACACCGCGAAATGGATTAAAACTGCTACTCACATGCGCTTGCAAGCTTCGGAGAAAATGCAAAAAAGTCAATGGGCCCACGCGCATAAAACTCAATAATATGTTCATTTTATAATATGTTTAAGTTTGCCTGTGGAAAATACATTTATTGTGATGTTTGAAAGACAAAAAAAAAAAACGTTCTGCAGAATTCCGTAACCCCGCTTCAATCCACATTTGAAGATGTGCTAGACTGCTTTTTTCATTTCGATTAATGAATTCGTGTTATTACACAAAGTAAACAGTTAAAAGCAAAATGTAAAGTCGTTTTAAAACGTTTCATGCTGTGAGAGCGAAAGAGCCAACACGTGAATTATAACAGCATCAACTAGATACCATCAACTTCTGAAGCGTTTCCTGAATCTTATGACTGTCGGAGAAATGTTGTATTGTAGTCGTTTTAAACCTAGCAGCAAAGTAATAACGATAACGTATTAAATAGCTTGCTGTTAAGGAAATGGACACATAGGTTAGGCTACTCAAAAATGCACGGCTGTGTGCAGCTCGCGAGACAGAAGAGCATCAGCAGATGAAGTCGGAGGCTGATCCAGGAGGATGCGTCATTTTCTGAACCGGTGTGCTGGCCGAGGCAGAACAGAAATACTTTGTTATAAACTGATCCTGTCCCTTAAAAAATTGCCATGGTAACCGCAGTTCCCGCCACAATACCATGCACTAAGTAATAAGGGCTCTTTGTAGTTTAAGCCGATAGCCTTCATATTAAAAACGATTTCTGTTTTTTTTTTCTTTTGGAAAATGACACGTTTTGAGATTATTGATATTACATGTACTTCTGTTTAGTGTATTGGTTTTAGTCTTTCAAATGCATCAATTATTTTCTTAACTAAATAATAACAACAAAATGTATTATTATTAACAACAATAATAATAATAATAGTAATAATAATAATGTTGTTTAATTAACATCTTATTGTGGAGTTTAAAATGTTTTCTTATTAAACAGGTCAAATCATTTGACTGTGTTGTGGAACCTTTATGATTAAAAGTGTATTTAAATAAAAGTGTTGTAACTTTGCACTGATGCAGTATAACATGTTCAAAGTCTTTACACTGTTTACGAGGGGCATCCACCATATTAACTGGTAATTATGGTATTTTTCTGAAAAGTACTTTTGTTACCATGGTAAGTTTTTTAAAGGAAAGTTTCCAGATTCAGGCATAATTCATAGCGAATAGCTGTAGTCTAGTCTATTCTATTTCTTACTAAGTTATGCAACAAACGACCTTTGACGACAGGTATGAGTGTCAAATCTGATTACTTTCTAATTTAGATTTTCATAGGGACGAGAGTTCAACATTGTTTCATGCTTGAAGGCAAAATGATGCAACTGGTTTTCATTTTACAGTCATCTCTAGTTGAGCAACACTCGGATGTGGAGAAATTCAACAGGCCTTTCTTTTTTTACAGCTCATTGTTTATAGTATTTTTTATCTGATTTGTATTCATCATTATTACTATTGTCTTTAGTCTGTTATCTTATCTCGCCATGAAGTGTAGATGTTGCAAAATGATATGCTGCGAACATTCATTCATTCATAGTATATTCATTTAATTTTATTTTTAAATGTAGTTTTAGACTTTAATATATTGTCATTTTGAACTATAAGGGAAATTAAATAGATTCGTGACATATATAAAGGTTTGAAGTAAAAGATGGGATTTTTTTTTTTTTTCATTTTTGTCTGCTGCTGAAAAATGATGATGTCATCTGACATAAAAATCACAAAACGCTTGTGACTTTTATTTATTTACTTGTAATATGATATAGTTGCATGCATTTTATGGTTTCAATATCTAAGTATAGCCACCTGGTGAATTCAAATTTAATAAAACAACAACAACAAAATAATAATAATAATAAAATAGTCAAATTGAAGGAAGAACTAAGCTAGCAACTCTGTAAGATGATGTTAATGATATTAATTTTCAACAAATGATCTAGATTAAATTAATTAATATTAAATTGGCAGGAAAAAAATACATGCAACGACAATTAAAACTGCCATTACCAAAATCTGAATCTGCTGGTCAGGGTGGTTGGTACAATGTCCTTCCATACTTTACGCAGTGACCTTGCGTTATCTAAAAAGTGTAATAGCAATACGCTTGTCTCAGATATGTTACCATTGAATGGAAAAAATTATTATTTACTTTTTATTTTGGTTTAATGATCAGACTGTGATCACCGCAGTGCCCTCTAATGGTTGTTTATTTATTTAATTATTTATGTATTAAACTATGGATTAAGATGAAAGAACAATAAGTCAATATTACCTTCAGTATACAGATCATATCATATTGCTGTTAATTAATGTAATTAATTTACTTTTTATTTTAACAGATCACAATCATTTAGTTTGTCAACAATTAACTAATTAATTAAATTAATAAATTAGATATTTTTTTGCTATGGTTCTATTGACATGACATAATTAGTCATGAGAACTAGAGTGAATAAATAACAATGTTGTCTTCAGTTTAATATAACAGTATTAATTGTTATATTTGTAAAATCTATTTGAGCTTCCTGTCCCTGTAATTTATAATTTATAGACTTAATATCTTCTTCTTCTTCTTCTTCTTATTATTATTATTATTATTATTATTATGTGTTTGAAGAAAAAAAATCATGAACATTAAAAATGAACATTTCATCACAGGCCAAAAAACAGCCATTTAGATTTAGAGTTTCATTGGCATGTTATACACTTTGCAATGTTTGTCCATATAAAATCAATTTGGGAGAATGATATATCAACAACTGACATGTTGTTCCACTGAAAGTGCCCACAATAAATTGCCTGATGCTGGTCTAAGGAATTAAATCAAGTTTTATTATGATTATTTATGATTCAAATTAGCAAATCTCAACCATGATTCACGACGCACCATTTTACATTAACAAATCCGGTCTCAGTTTCTTCTCAGCCAAAGTTAGTCGTAAGTTATTTTGTCATCTGACCGGATGGGGACTTTGATAAATTGAAAAATGGCAGACATGACTGTTTGGATGCATAATCTTTGCTGACAGACATAAATCGACTCCATTGCGTTCGCTACATCTGTTTATCCGTTGCGGCTGGCAGCCTGTTTGGTATGTTAATACCTCCCTATTGATCACTCAATTGATCATTGGTCCTTTGGATCAGTGTAGTCTGCATCAAAGCTACTCAAAGCCAGTCTGCATTTCAGTAGGATCCTACCTTTTATATGACACGTCAGTCTAGAGTCTTCACTTACCTACTGTAGGAACAGATATAGCAATACAATGTTGCAAAACAACAGGTGATAAACAGATTTAATAATAATAACAACAATAATAATACCAGATGCTTTCCATTACCACATATTTAATATAAAAGAATGACTTCATAAATAAATGATTAAAAACATGTTTTCTCATGATGAAAAGGCTGACTTCCGCACTACACAAGAAGGACAGCAGGTAGACTGGCGAACAGCTGGCAGGAGGGCTATGGGTCTCAAGCTGCTGAAGGCAAAGGTGGAGGGCAAACTCAAACAAGACATTGAAATGTCAAGGCGTCACACACATGCTTACTTTAAAAATGATAAAGAGAGCGATGCTGCTGATAAGAACAAGTTAAGTGACACGCTTCAGGCAGCTGTCCCAGTTTAACTTCCATAAGCGGCTTTAATCATTATATGAAATGTCATTTTGCTTTAATTACCTTTCTTATTAAATTTGATCGTTTTAATCTGATGCCCGTTTGGTAGGTGAGCTGTATTGATTTTTACACCTCTGCAGCACTCTGTTCCTGCTGATTCATATAGACAGAAGTTCAACATGAACTTGCGGTTGACATGTAAAATTATTTTCTTCCTTGACAGCTCAGCTCAAAATAAAAAAAACAGGAAGGCCTGTCCATCACATTGTCACGTAAAGCGCCTCCAAAGTCTGTGTGCTGTTCACTCCAGGCTCTGGAGGGAAGGACGGCTTTTGCATACTCCCTGCAATGCATGGTCCGCTGCTCAGAATAGATCACTGGAACTCTGTGCAAGCAGGGAGAAAGTCTCCCCGATACCCCCGAGCGCAATTTTCCCAGCTAATTCTCTCTATTCGCTCATGAGCGGCAAGTTTCCAAAGATTGGGAAAGTTGAAACTCAAAGCTTTGCAAATCCACCCAGAGTATAGTTTTGAAAGAATCGTTCCCTGGTGTAAATCTGAAAATGGCTCTGAGTTTTCGCAACAACATAAACTGTCCTAAATATGGGGAGGAGTGACATGTAGGCTCCCGTGTGGAATTGTCTAATCCCAGCACCACGTCCCTGGATAGCAGAGCTCCATACAAAATGCCAGACATCACTTACAGAGAGCTCGAGCTTATACTGTCTACACTGTTTAGTGCTATTTTGGGTTGTACAGGTTCATCAGCATTCGTGCTCCACTCGGGACCATGCCATTTGTTATTGTTGACAGTAAACTGATTATCTAGACGCAAGAGAATGTGCAGAACTGGAGACCCATCGCCCTTTTTAAAGGCCCGTTCACGTCACACTTTAATGTCAGTTGCGGTTATTTAGATGTAGATCATCTTTTCATCTTTTATGCGTTGCTCTGCAATGCACTCCTTAGCCAGTAAGTCCTCTTCATTATGCAATGTTGGATATAGCCTTGGACTCTTTTGGGCTTATCAGAGTATAGTAGGTGAATAGTAATTGGTTTGCTCTCGCCGACTCCAAAATGGTGCAATCTTCAAAAGCAAACCGAATCATTTTTCACAACTTTCTTCAAAAAACAACATAACAGTCTGAGAATATGTGCAGATAGTAAGCTGGCCATTGATCAATGTCATGTAAATACTGTGAGTGCTGCTCGTCTGCCCAACAAACCTTTAATGAGTCCCTACAGTCCAGCCAGAGTGTTCACTGTGAAAAACAGAACATCTCGCTGACAGCCGAGACTTGAGCGGCTAAAAAAAAAAAGGGGCCTTCAACTCTGTGTGTTTTAAGAAATCAGCCTTTGTGATGAATTTTTGATGTGTGAAGCAGATCTTCAAGGTACACGATGCATCTCTGCTGCGTTCAGCTTTGTTTTAAAACAAACATCCTTTTGGCACCTACAAATTACACATTAATGACTTGCCGAATAGAGAATCGTTGTTAGTAGTATTTCCTACATATCCTATTTTTCTTTAATGTCTCTTTCCTACTATGCTATATGTCCTGCTTTGAGGTTTTGTTTATTAATTGCACATATCCGCTTAATAAGTGTGATGTCACGGGAAGCAGATTCCGAGTCCAGGCACTCCATCAAGCTGTGAGATTTGAGAGAGATCCAGACAGAACTGTTGTATAAATAAATATATATATATATATATATATATATATATATATATATATATATATATATATATATATATATATATATATATATATATATATATATACACAATGTACGATGGCCAGACAGTGATACAATTTGTATAATTTATTAAAATATTGGTGCAGAGACTGTTGTGTACACCATGATTTTATATAAAATTATAAAATTCACTTTAAAGTGTGATAGGACTAAAAAGGGGTCATAAACATTTTCTCAATTCAAATGAGTAGCAGCTTGTACCCTGAAACAGTATTACAGACGCCACCGATACGTCACGTCTTAACAATCGAATTGTTATTAGTAAGATTTAATAGTGAGTCAAACTAATGTGGAGTTTCAATAATAAGGGGTACTATATTCAAACAGAAACAGCACTGCATGGACAATTCTGTAAACTAACAAAACCCAGAGTCTAGAAGTGTTAGGCATCTCCCCCACCAGTTTTCTGTGACCTAGTTGAGTTGTTGGCACATTGTGAAAGCCTCAGCCCCCTGGCTACTTTTATTTATATAATGCCCTGACAGGATTTGTGTGGCCATCGAGCAACTTGGCAACAAACGCTGAAATGCTGATTCATAAATCATGTCTTGGTGCTTTGAATCATGGCTTTGTCCTATTCTTCTGAGGGATATTGACAGTCATTTGGGACTGTTATTCTTCAACTTTAAACCATAAAACTCACACTTACCCTACAGTTACATCTTGGCTGCTCAAAATATCAACATACTGTAATCTGATATTATGCACTGCAGTTCTGTTGAGTGTTGCCAATGACGTACAATAGTCCATTATCTGCAGTCTGAAATCTGCCGGGCCTCTCTAATACGATTGTATGTTGTATTTGGTAGCATTTTACCTTTTAAGCAGTCGTTCATATTGTTAAGCATTGTAAACGACAAATGAATGGCAACAATAGTTTTTGGGAAAGTCCATTCTTTAATTTAAGCCATCGTTTACTCCTCATGTCATTCCAAATCTGTATGATCTTTCTTTCTTATTTGGAATACAAAAAGGAGAAAATTGTTCTCTTTTCTGTGCAGTTGTTTTCCTTACCCCTTTGGCAAAGAGTTTTATTTTTCCTTCTCATTTTCTCAGTTTACTCAACAACCTCACTAATTTGAGATTTCCATGAATGGGATTTCTCGCATCTTGTTTTTCGATGTTTGTTCTTGAAAGACAAACAAAACAGTTTTTTTTTTTTTTCGTATTTAGTAAAAACATACAGGGTGTCCGCGTGGTATTAAAAAAGTATTACAAGTTAATCATAATAATAATAATAAATACTAAATCAATTATGAGAAAATTTAGGCCCTTAAAATGTATTAAAAAGTGTTAATCACATTTTTTATGAGGTCTTAATTTTTGTTCAAGCTTTGTCCAAAGTGTTTGACTCCAAAAAAGCATAAATATATTTATTTTCCTCCTAATATTAACAACGGCGTGCTGGATCCATACCATTTGGTTCAGGCTGGGCTGCATCTGGTCAAGCTCCTCCTTCCAGGTGATGTCGCATAATTTGCGACATTTGCGACAAATGTAGAAAGGCGATGTGATGCTCTCCACATGAAGCAAAGCCATAGAACTAAACAGACAGCAAATAGGAAAATGTAAAATTGCTTACTCCTGGTTGGAGAAAGTTGAGTCTAAACAATGGCTGAAGCCTGTCGCTAAAAACAACCATGTGGTTTATTCTTTCAAGCTTTCTTCCAAGCTTATCTGAGTTCTGTTGCATGGTTGTGCTCCATTGATTTATTAACTACAACTGTTTATTACAACTGTTTATTTAGTTAAAGGTTTGATACTGTTTAGAACTTGAAGTGGTGATAAGTTCTTTAAATGTTTTAAATTATTCCCTGAGGTCTTTAAAATCCTTTAGGATTCCTGCATATACCCTGATATATAGCAAAATGACTTAAAATAATCATAAAAGTGATATGTTTTGTATTCCCCAGTGAGCTGTTCACTGCTATGCCTGATTGAGTTGACTTGAGAACCAGTTGCATCCATTACAGATCATTTACATTCGTTTAAAAAAATCCAAAATTTTTATTTATTTTGTAACCGTATGGAAAAGAGCAACCAACAGAATATGTGTTTCTGTGTTGCAAGCTGTACAGTACACAGTAGATTTGGAAGTACATGAGGGTAAGAAAATGGACAGTATGTGGCTGAACTATGTTTAATTTATTAAAACATCTAAAATGCTCCCCCAGAGACTTGAGAATCATTTGCTTGTTCAGATGTTAATGTTCCAAAGCATCAAAAAGCTATTTGTAGCAAAACTGTGTTTTAGAGTTGAGAATATGACCATCTTTTTCTTTTCATCTTCCTCTAGCAGATCTTTGAAGAAAGTGCAGCACCTACTTTGAGTATGGACTTAGCAAGTGAGGCCCATGTTCTGGTGGTTTTATTCACCTGCTTGTTCTTGATGTGCCGGGCTCAAGAAAAGGACTACACCGTAAAAGAGGAGCAGCCGGAGAATGTGCGCATCGGAAACCTGCGCAAAGACCTAAACTTGAACCTGGATCCAGACATTAAACTGTCTTCTGCGCTGCAGTTTAAACCTGTCTACAAGACAGGTGATGTGCCTTTAGTCAAGGTAGAAGCCAGCACAGGAGAAATTCTTACCACAGCCAACCGAATCGACCGCGAGAAACTCTGTTCTGGAGTCTTCAACGAGAAGCGCTGCTATTATGAGATTGAGGTTGCTGTACTACCTGATGAGATTTTCCGACTGGTCAAGATCCGCTTCCTCATCGAAGACATCAACGACAATGCCCCACTCTTTCAGTCGACAGTTATCAACATCTCCATTCCAGAAAACACAGCCATCAACAGCCGCTACCCAGTCCCTTCCGCATTTGACCCTGATATAGGAATCAATGGGATTCAGCACTATGAGCTTGTCAAGGTGAGTTCAACGTTCAGCTGTGATTTATGACATGAAACCACCATTTTATCAGCCCTTAATGTCCGAAAGAAAAAAAGATAGAAATGTTTGGCTCAAGGTTTTAAAAGTAATTCCCTGTGTTTTGTTTAAGGTAAGTAGGTAATTGCAAGATAGATATGAACAATGAGGGAAATGATACTTTCTCTTAATTGATGTCTTCTGAGCAGCTAGCGTAATATTCTCAGAGGCTTAATGTAGTCTGCTCCGACTGGAAAGTAGGATAATGGTATGCAAACTATTAAATCGTGTAAAGTAGCAGATATGTTGCATGTGTGTTTAATTTAGCATTTTATGGAGAGTCAAAGGGGCCTTTTATCCCAGAAGTGGTAAAAAGACACTAAGCACGCTCTTCATCTGGGCTGTCAGTCACAACGCAGAAGATTCCGACATAACATAGTTCAGTGAATGAACTCTTATTCCCTAGAAAGGTCATGCTGTATTTTAATTAAAATTCAAATACAGTGTGAAATTCAAATACAGTGTGAAACAAAGAGCCCAAGACTGTTATTAAAGTGTGAAAGAGTAATTTGTACCTTTTCTTTTGAGAATTAGCCGAATCCTTGCTTTTCATGTCTGATTAAGTTACCAATTTGCATTTTTAAAGAGTCTCTCTCTTTCTCTTTCTCTCTCTTTCTCTCTCTCTCTCTCTCTCTCTCTCTCTCTCTCTCTCTCTGTCTCTCTCTCTCTCTCTCTCTCTCTCTCTCTCTCTCTCTTTCCCTCTCTCACTCTCTCTTTTTCTCTCTCTGCCAAGCCTGCTGTGGCTCTTTCGTTTGCCCGTGCTTGGAAAATGACCAGTGCGATGCCTCATAAAATTACAGTAAATATGTAAAGTCTCTGTTGCCTTTCGGATGACTTTATTTGTTCTTCATCTGCGAGTGTAGTGTTTCTTTTTATGAATCATGCATGCAAGTTTGGTGAGGGTAGATCTGAGTAAACAGAAATGGAACGGCAGGATATGTTTCATCCTCAGAGGTTGTTGAAAGCATCCTACGAGCGGCATCTGGCCGTGAATCCACCTCTTGGACTGCGTTTGCATGGTCCTGTGAGAGTACGAATCTCTGAAGCTCCCACACAGTAATGGTTTAGACCGGCTCACCGTCAGCATGGAGCTGCACGATTAGCATTGTGGGGCACAGCTGCTGCGCACATAGCTTTGAAAGAGCTCTGATAGCAATCCCTCTTCTGCTCTTTATTCATTCCAGTCATGTCCCCTAAGGAGGAAGCCCTCGCTTATGACACAGAGGGCCGTTATTGCCTACCCCTGTTTTAATTGCGCTGCCATATTAATTGTTCCATCAGCATTAGTGTTGCCATGTCACCTGGAACGATGCACAGAAGCACCTCTGGACACTATCAAGGTCAGCCTACAGAAAGTAATACCATGCATGGCTGGAGGAGTGCTTTCCATTAGAAGAGATTTTATCACTTAAAGAGAACCTCTTTACAAGTCCTATCTGGAGGCATGTGGATCAGATCAGGCTCATGGGATGAGGATATTGACGTTTCTGTTGTGGGTTCCACCCAACTCTTTGTTATTTTTACCCTTCCATTTAAGCACTCTAACCTCACATTAAGAAAGCCGTTTCTCTCTTTTGATGCCATTTGTGTGTTTTTAATCGCCCGGGACCTTCAGCGTTGTCATTTTTAAGATTGAAACTTAAGAAGGGATGTTTTGAAAGCACTTTCATTACAGCAAGTCTCCATTGGATTCCTTATTTGGGGAGTCAAGGTCAGCGCTAAAAGTTGTTATCATTTCATTTCAATAATTCATGAGTATTTTGGTTTTCATCCGTGTCTGATTCTGATTTGAAGTGGAAGAGAATCTAGCTCAGCTTAAATAATTTATAGAAAATGTGATTTTATTTTATTTTTTAAGTTCTCACTTCTGCAGTTATTTCACTTCAAGACAATGAGAAGAGCCAGCCGAATGATGCATTAATGATCAAGGGCTGACAAGTAACATGTCATAAAGAGTTTGCATGAATATTACAACACAAAGGCTTACGAGTGATTTTCGAGAAAGATATCATCCGCTTTGAACAAAGTAATTGTTGTGCCTCGAGTAGAGCTGAAGGGTTCTGACACTTCTCACAAAAGGTTTGTTTCCCAGGAAACAATTGTCGTATATGAAATAAATAGTAATGATTATAACAATTAGCTCGAGAGAGTATAGATACCCGTTTAATTGTACTCCCTTGAGAATAAGTCAGAGTAAAAGTGCATTAGCTTTAAGGATGAGTGGATAAGGTAAACTGATTTCTGTTAGTGTTTTGGACAGTAGTGGACACTGGGGAAAAGTAGCAGTTTTCTAATTGCATTACTGACTGTCAAATGGTTCCAGGTTTCATTTGTGCCTAATGTTTGCCTGATACCTCAGCCAAAGTGTGACCAGGGATGCCTTGCTTGTGTTTGGTTTTAGTCAAATGGTGTACATCTTATTAAAGTAGGCAGCAAATATAAAATACAAATGTAAATATGACTACTTGGATGCTATTACTGACGTTAATAATAATTATAATAAAATTGTAGTTATTATTATTATTATTATTATTAGTGTTTTTATATGCTTTTTATATGCTAACATTTCTACTGTTTGCAGTGCAACGGTGCAAGGAAGTAAAATATTCAGTTTCCCAGTTGTTGATACTGAGTTCATTCTGAGTTGTAGCTGTAGAAGGTCATCATTGATTCATACAGCAGATACTTTGCCAGTCTGCAAAGCTGAAATAAACTCTATGGTTAAACTATGCAAAATGAAGCTCACTGATGCTTAATATTCTACCGTTAAGATACTGTTTTCTTTGGGTTATTTATAACTGACATTAGCTTCCTCTGCATATATTTCTTAATTGCACTAGACAACTGGGTTCAATTTAAGCGAGATTTTAAGCATTGTTTTACATCCAGTATCATTCCTTATCAGTCTTTTACACTAATGGAAGCAATTCATCCCATGTGTCTCTCGTAATGCTCTATGGGTCAGTTGGTATGAATATGTAGATTCATATGCACTACCTGTATTAATTTCAGACATTTGTCACATCCCTTGGGGCTGTGATTCATGTTCTTTTGACTTTACCCGAGTCTGTTTGAAGATAATCAGAATTCCCCAGCCTCATTTTTATGGGCCTGACTTGCAAAATTATGATTGATCCCCTTATTGCTAGCCATTTTTAAAAACAGTCTCATTAGATAAAACATGTCTTATCTTATCCTGTATAAGACCAAAAAAAAAAAAAAAAGAGGTCGTTCGGCTAACACGCATACATTTATAACTGACAAAATGTAACCCACCTTCATTGTAACCAGAAGCACACCAAACAGATTTGTTTCTCACAGATTTTTCTGCTGATTCTCATATAAAACTACAGCAGTCAGTTTTGTTGAATTGCATTGCCTATATAAGGAAGGAGAGCTGCTTTGCATGTGCTAATATATGCAGGCAGCCAAACTGTTACTTTCATAACCTTTCTGTGTTTAATGCTAATTATGTACTTGGATGAGTATTGATATGTGTGTTTTTGCATGTGTTGGTAGCACTGACAGTAGACCACAGATGGTCACAAAAGTGTGCCAAGAACTACCAAAGGGGGATGTTGCATGATTTTAGCATGTGCAAAGCTTATTCTGTCAACCCAATATTTAAATTGTTGTTTGCTAGTGTAGTTATTATGCGGCTGCATGCAGGGTGCCAATAAAAAGTGTATTGTTAGAGCCAGACTAAATGATTCAAGATTACCCATGGCTTGGGAAATGCATATACGTATCGTAATCACATTTGAAATATGTGCCTAGACAGAGTAATCTTTCCCAGCTTTATGTGCGGCAGGAAGCTTATCTCTTAAGGAAGTTGCTTTTTCTTGTTCTAGCATGAAAATGTTTTTGACTGAAAGAGCTTCAAAGAGCCTCTTTGTTTCACAAATGTGCTTGACTCTCATTCAGGCACTGTTCCCCTGTCTTCCTCGCTTACTAACCGCGGAAATATAGAAAGTGTGCTATGTTTGCCCTTAGTAGTATGTAGCCTGATCTGTAATCATAAATATTAGGGCTAATTTTGGTAAGAAGGTAATTATTTTAAACAGTCAAAGCTGCTTTCTCATGGGGCTTGCATTTGTATTTGTTTTCATTTTCCTCAGGCTTTGCTGTTGCCTAGATTTAGCTTTTTTCTGGGTTTTCCCTTTGCTTTAATCTGCGATGGTCTTGCAATATGATTAAAATGGGATCTTATCTCTTTGACTCCTTTTTAGCTGCTTTCCTCACATATGAACTTGAAACTACAAAAGCTGTCTTTCGTATACTAAATCAGAGCCTTGGTTGTTGGATAAAACAATAAGTTTTGTGCAGCAAAGCAGAATACACCAGGGAATAATGCTAGAACTCACTGTTTCATTATTGTACGACTATGAGAGGCAGTGTGGCTTTGTTACTTGTATTAGTTGGTAGGAATTGTTGTTTCTGAATGTTACATTTGCAATTTTCTATCAGCAAATGGTTTACTTTTAGCAAATGTACACTAAGCATGCTTATCAGCAAAGGTCAGGGCAAAATATATTTCATGACAGGTCAATAAAATATATTTGCAATATTTCAAACAGGAATATGTGCATTGATTTATGCTCATGCATGTAAATATGGAATGACACAAAGTAATGTCGTCTCTAACAAACAATTTTTGATTGTTTACCATATCTTACACTTATTTACTTTCTGTGGAATCTGTTTTCCCTGCATCGTTTATACGAAATGTTTTAGTTTTCAGGTGCTTGATGGAACTGTTTACACTATAGGGATCAAATGTTTGCTTTATAGGATCATATCCCCCGGCCAGGCTTTTCGAGTAAATATTTTGAAGACCTTGTGCATTTTCTCATAGGATTAAACAACTTTAACCCCAAGGTTTAATGCGGGAGCTAAAACCAACATCTGTTGAAAGCCAGAATAAATGACTGGCTCGAATACATCAGTATTTGTATGTTTCTTACATGTGTTTGTGAAATGTGTGATGGATTATCATAACACGTATTCTCACATAAATAGGAAAGCAAGAAAAATAGTAACATGTGCAAAGATAAAAACAACAATATACATAATGACTGAGCTTTTCAAGTGAGAAGAAAAAAAAAGTACTATGGTATTTTTTGTCTTAGTCTTCCTAGCTGAGGTTTAGACAATGATGATGTTCTTGGTCAAATATACAACAAAAAGTTAACATTCTTGTTTTATGTGTGTTTTCCAGAGTGTGAGTGAATTTGGCTTGGACATCATTGAGACACCTGAGGGAGACAAATGGCCCCAACTCATAGTCCAGCAGAGCCTTGATCGAGAGACAAAGGACACCTTTGTGATGAAAATTAAAGTAGAAGATGGTGGCAACCCTCCAAAGTCCAGCACAGCCATTCTTCAAGTGACCGTCTCAGATGTGAATGACAATCGGCCGGTGTTCAAGGACAGCGAGGTGGAAGTAAACGTTCCAGAGAATGCCCCAATGGGAACGTCTGTCACTCACCTCCATGCTACTGATGCTGATCTGGGATCCAATGCTCAAATTCACTTCTCTTTCAGCAACCAAATATCCCCTTCCACCAAACGACATTTTGCTATTGACAGCACAACTGGACTGATTACCGTCAAGCAGCCACTGGACAGGGAAGTCAACCCAGTGCACAAGCTTATAGTTCTAGCCAGTGATGGAAGCTCTACACCTTCAAGGGCTACAGTGATAGTCAACGTGACAGACATTAATGACAACGTTCCCTCTATAGATACCCGTTATATAATGAATCTTGTAAATGGCACTGTGCTGTTGTCTGAAAATGCCCCACTCAACACAAAAATAGCCCTAATTACTGTGACAGACAGAGATTCAGATCTGAACGGTAAAGTGACATGTTACACTGATCATGATGTACCTTTTAGATTGAAGCCGGTCTTCAATGATCAGTTTTTACTTGAAACTGCTGCACCCTTAGATTATGAGACCACTCGAGAGTATGCGATTCGGATAGTTGCATCTGACTCTGGGAAACCTCCTTTAAACACTTCTGCAATGGTGCTGATTAAAATCAAGGATGAAAATGACAATGTTCCTGTTTTCCCCCAGCCTGAAATCCAGCTGTCCATCCCGGAAAACAATGACCCTGGCACACAGTTGATAAAAATCAGTGCAACAGATGCTGATAGTGGTTCTAATGCTCTTATTATTTATAGTCTTGGCCCAGATGCTCCTGATGGGTTTAACATAGATTCTCGATCTGGAATTCTTTCTGTTGTCAAAAGGCTAGATAGAGAGAAGCAGGAGAAGTATTCATTCACAGTCATTGCAAGGGATAACGGTACAACTCCTCTTCAAAGCAACGTCACTGTAAAGCTGATAGTCCAAGACCAAAATGATAACAGTCCTGCCTTTACCCATCCCGAGTACAACTTTTATGTGCCTGAGAACCTTCCTTTGTATGGGACAGTGGGTTTGATCACTGTCACAGATGCGGATGCTGGCGACAATGCAGTCGTCACCCTCTCGATCATTAACGGGAAGGACAATTTCATCATTGACCCCAAAACTGGGGTGATCAAGCCAAACATTACCTTCGACAGGGAGCAACAAAGCTCCTACACATTTGTTGTCAAGGCTGTGGATGCAGGTCTAATGCAAACCACCTCATATGCAAAGGTCACTATAAATGTTGTTGACGTGAACGACAATCGACCAGTGTTTGTCATCCCCTCCTCAAACTACTCCTATGATCTAGTACCTTCAAACACCAGCCCTGGATCTGTGGTGACCAGAGTGTTTGCTATAGATAATGATACTGGGATGAATGCTGAGCTCCAGTATAGTATTATTGGAGGGTCGCTGAGAGGACTGTTTACCATTGACAAAACGACAGGCAACATTACTTTGCAGGAAAAGATTGTAGCAGCAGACCAAGGTCTACATAGGCTGGTGGTGAAGGTCAAGGACTTGGGGCAGCCAGAGTCCTTACATGCAATTGCCCTTGTCCATTTGTTTGTGAATGATACAGTCTCTAATGCCACGTTCATTCAGGAGCAACTACGCAAAAGTTTAGAGACTCCTTTAGAGCGGAACATTGGGGACAATGATGTGACACCCCAGACTAATGGCTATGTAATTGTCGTTATTGCCATAATTGCTGGGACTATGACTGTTATCCTGGTAATTTTTGTAACTGCTTTGGTACGCTGTCGACAGACACCGAGACACAAAGTTGTTCAGAAGAGCAAGCAAAGTGGCGAGTGGGTTTCACCCAACCAGGACGGTCGGCAGATTAAAAAGAAAAAGAAGAAGAAGAAGAGGTCTCCAAAAAGTTTACTGTTGAATTTTGTTACCATTGAGGAAACCAAGTCTGATGACCCTACTCATGAACACGTGAATGGCACCTTAGACCTACCTGTTGAACTTGAGGAGCAGACAATGGGAAAGTACAACTGGGCTACCACACCAACTACCTTCAAACCCGACAGTCCTGACTTAGCCAAGCACTACAAATCCGCTTCCCCTCAGCCAACATTCCAGATCAAACCAGAGACCCCTGTGGCTCCCAAGAAGCATCATGTCATTCAGGAACTCCCACTGGACAACACATTCGTGGTGGGCTGTGACTCGCTTTCCAAATGTTCCTCCAGCAGCTCCGACCCCTACAGCGTTTCAGAGTGCAGCTGTCAAGGGGGCTTCAAGGCACCTGGACAAATCCACACCAGACAGGTAATTCACAACTTCCTTTCTTAAACCACTCGCTGCTCCAGCTCCCATTTGTACTGTCCTTCTGTTAGAAAGATGTGGAATGGAGGGTGGCAGCCGTATGTGCTAAGCTTCACCAAGAGCTCAAAGGTGCATGCATGTCAGGATGGAGTATGTAAATGAAAATCTTAAACTTAAAAAAGTATGAGGTTGTTGGTTCTATGGTTGTGTGTTCCTATTAGAAAAAAAGGCATTTCACATTTGACTAAAGAAGACATGTAGGAAAAATCCCACAGTTTATCAACTGAATGAACATAGTACGTATTAGGAAGACTGTGACAAATAGCAAGATCTTGGATAGGGTTGATAATGGATGTTTTTTTTTTTATTTTATCTTCTTCTCTTCTCAATCAGACATTCAATTCTAAAGAGCAATTATTAGCAAAACAACTTTTTGTGTGTACCAAAACCAAGACTGCTAGCTTGAGATTACAGCTATGTTTGTTCTTGATTGACATGCCAAAACCAAGCATGCTTGACAGAAAACCAAACAAGATAGGGTTGCGTTCCACTGGCACAGCTGAACAGATGCACACTGCTGAAACAATTGTTTCCCACAGAAATGGTTGATAGAACTCATTAGAGCTAAAACTTGTAACGTAGTAGGAAAAGGCTGATTATTTTTAAATAGAATTCCGAACTCAGTCCAAAGGAAACATTATAAGTTATCTCTGAGGGAAATTGCAGGCATTAATGAGATGAAGGTTCATTTGAATACTAGTATTCTAGTCTATGGTTCCAGAGGAGATGTGCCAAATGCAAAATAGCTAATAAATAAAAGCAGGTGAGGGACATAAATGTAAATTGGGGTGGAGAGAGAGGTGGCCTCGCTGCGGCCACTGGTCTTTCTTGCAGAGTGGAAGACTGAGCTGTGCGATTGTAGGTCAGAGAGATCAAGGTGAAGACAGTGCTGTGGGACCGTGAGACTTAAATAGAAGCATATTCACTAATAGCCTGAAACACCATTCATTTTACCTATCAACAGTATGGTTTTAATGGCCATGCATCCAGTCTGGAGCTTAGCCATTTTCTCGCGCAAGGTTAGAAAGCACAGGACTGGGTTCAGGAATTGGCGGGTGTCCAGAAACCTAGATTCGAACAAGACTGAGCATGTAGATAGTGATAGGAAACTAGCTAGGACACCATCTACATGATCTGTATTTTCCCCCTTTGTCTAGCATTCAATCACATATCTTGTCTTTTTTTATTTTTTTCATAATATCATGTCATCCACTGTGAGCTCTTGTTCTTATTGAAGAAAATCCCCCTCTGCATATTTCTTACAAATTACAGTATATCCACTCAGATACATTGTGCACATGGTAATTTAAGGTGACACCCACACATAGCTGATGCTCCATTTTCACCATGAGGCCTTTATTTGAAAATGCAGTTAAAAGCAACGCTCTGCCATGGTGCATTACACATAAGCCTGCTTACAAAGTGAGATTATGGCATGACACATAATTTAGGTTAGTTTGTAATTTGCCCTGCCAAAGTTTTCCTTCTGCGTCTGTATATGTTGAAATATGCAGAAATATCTGTTGGAGGTTTTGAAACCTTGCATCAGATTCTCCTTGAAACGTCTGTGATAAAATCCTATTCAGAGGGTGCCTTGTACTGTCAATGCTATAGCTACTATAGAAATTCATTTCATGCTGTATTTGTAAAGAGCTTTTTGACAGGGATATACTGTAGTAAAAGAATACATTCTCAGTGAGCAACCCTTTCAAACTGACATTGACCCTTTCTTTGAGCAGTTCAAAACCTTCCAGGGCAGGTTTGGACCAGATCTGTCTTTGTTTTATATTCTTTCAATATATAATGTAGGGGAAAGAACAAAACAAAACTAAACTAAAAACTAGTCTTTAGTTTGGAAATATATAAACAGTGCATGCCTTAGTGAGATAGGTTATGTATGTACATCTTAAGGATCTGTGTTCTTTAATAGATACAAACAATATAAATTAATAATTAAACTTTAGGGAAAACAAGTTAGAGGGTTCTTGAATTATGTGTTCTTTATCAGTCCAATCATTCAAAAAAATTATATATATATATATATATATATATATATATATATATATATATATATATATATATATATAATTTTTTTGAATGATATATATATAAATATATATATAAAATTATATATATATATATATATATATATACACACACACACACACACACACACACACACACACATTTATTTATTTATTTACTTTATTTTTGCTTTCATATATTAGCCATCATCTTCAATGGTTTTTCTTACTCAGCCATTGTGAACCACATCTAAGAAAGTAGCTCGGAAACATTTCTGACAAACAGATACCGGAAATTGAAATACTGAATCTGGGATATCAAATTAAGTCCTACAGTATACCCGCTGGCCCCATATTTGGTGCAAAGCTCTGTCTCCAGTTAGCTATAAAAAAGTGACACAAATGTCAGCATTACTTAACATTAGCAGTCGCATCTTGAACATCATGTCTGAATTTGCCATGACGAATAGGAGGTAAAACATTTGGAGGGACCATTAAAGGATGCACTTCTCCCAGGAAACACTCGCTGATGAAGGTCAATGGGATGCTTAGCAAGGCTGGAAATGATGTCAGCATCAAAGAGAAGCTTGTCAAAATACAACATATTTATGGGCCATATGGCCCATAATATCATCATCTGTCCATTCTGTATTCTGGGCACCACCCCGAACCCCTTTCCCACCCCTTTCACTCAACTCTGTCTTTCTTTTATCTTTTGCTCGTCCTCTTCTCAGACAGTGATTTTAGAGGTCAGTCCCTCCGGTGGTGGTGGGGTTGTTGGGATCCTTTCTGAATACACACTTTAGTTGTGGCAGATCAAGCTAACTCTGACATACTTGACTGATCCCTGGCAAGGCCATGAATATGCACAAACTCTAGTCAAATCAAATACTATAAGACCTTTATATTCAGAGCAGGGGTGTAGTTGAGGTCAGTAGCTTCGTCATTCTAAGCTGATGTTACTTGCAAACCCATCTCCATTTGGATTGGTATGAATATGCCTTAGCAGGCCTTGCAGTCAAACACATTTTCTTTGCATCAGGCTTCATGGTACATTCAGCATTTCAAAAACATCATGAAATATGGGAGAGGATGTCCTTGAGCCCACAGTTTGTGCTCTCACCCACCCGCGTTTCAATAATTCAAATTCTACTTCATTTTTGAATCTCGCCGGGTATAGGGCAGATGTGCCTAGATTTCTAAGCGAACACATTTTTTAGAACATGAAGTGATTGATATCTCTCTTGAATTTTTCTGCCTCTCTATCGATTCTCTCAAGTTGTGTCAAACTCCAGGCGATTTCTGCTGCGTTTAGCCAATCAGCAATTCTGGTGCATGTTGGCCTTTAGTACTATATTCTGCATGTTCATTTAAACTCAGAAGCTTTGAGTGTTTTTTTCATCTGATTCTGCATCAGATAAATATTGCCAAAATATTGCCCAGAGGAACAGCTATATTGGATGTGATTATCCACTTTATATTTTTATTACATCATCCCTTGTATGTATAATATATTTATATATATATATATATATATATATATATATATATATATATATATATATATGATCTTTAACTGACCTTTTTCATGTATACTTTAATATGTTTCATAATTTAAACCACTAGTGAAAAATAACATTTTCACATATGAGTGGAATAATATGTCATTCAGTGTGACATTCATTTATGTAAATGCTAACTTATTCTGAGCCTGTTAATATATAGAATAATATTTTGTCTTGCTGACAAATGGGTAAAATCTAGCAATCTGATGGATGATGGCAACATTTGATAATTATTTACTATTTTGGGTCTCCTCTGCAATCTTTAAATATTCTTTTTTATGTCATCAAATGATTCTTGTCCTAAATATGCAGAATTTTCTTGTTGTACTGAATGGAATTTTAGTGGATGTCCTCTGTAATTCACGGGTAAATCAATAAACTAAATATATTTAATAATAATATCATAATTTTTTTAAATTTTATTTTATTTATTTTATTTATTTTTTACGTTCTAAACTAAAATTTATAATCAAAAGATTTAGTGAAAGTGATTGTTTATATATATTCCAAATATGCATTTATTATTATTATTATTATTATTATTATTATTATTATTATTATTATTATTATTATTATTATTATTATTATTAGTTAAAAGAATCCCAGGATAAAATAAAATAAAATAAAATAAAATTAAATTAAATTAAAAAAATATATATTTAATAGATTTTTTTTAACTGCAAAGAAACAGGTAATTTACTATTTTGGTCAAATTCCAGCTTGTCAGTTATGATAACGAAATGCTTATATGGCCTCTAGTGGAAATACGTAATTATGTGTGTGTTTGTGTGTGTGTGAGGTACTTTTAATTTTAATACTTATATACACCTGAATAATTATTTCATTTATTTTTTGATTTCACACAGCAACCCAACTTCATTATATGTTGCACATTTCATCAGCATATGTGTTTCCTGGGAAACGAATTATGGCCTTGACTTCACTAGCATCTTGTTCACCAGTTAAGCTGCGCTGTAGCTCTGTAATGTCACTTCTGGCAGCTTGAAAAGTCTCCTAAGTCACTTAATGTTCATTTGGCGTTGCTGAAGAGGGAATGTATAAAGAGCTTTGAAATGGTACTTTCCTGTTGCACATACCCATTAGATTTACTCTTGCTTCGAGATGTAGATTTCTATGATTTTAAGAGTTCGTCCTACAGAAATAACAATGAAGAGATTAGCTGAGTACTGCATACAAATGTATTTTTATTGCATTAAGTTCTTTTCGAAATGTAAAACCCTACAAAGGAATGTTTTATAGTCAAATGAGCCTCCTGTTGTCATCACTGAATGAGTGTTGCTGTAGCGTGGTGGGTGAAACAAAAGAAAAGAAAAGAAAAAAGAGAAAGAATTTGGTTTACCTGCATGCACTGACTAGTCACTTTTTACCCATTGATGACACACCTAGCATTCTTCAAGGTAAATCTGCTGAGATAAAAAGAAAAAGACACACTTTTACCTGTTCCTTGAAGAATGCTATTTCTCTCTCTCCATGTATGCACGTGAATGTATATGTCCAGAGAGAGAGAGTTGACTTCATTATCATCTTACACAGTTGCGTACTGCAGCTTAGCAAGCCAAATGATTTTGTAACTACAATCTCCCTATATCTGTCTGTCTCTCTATATTACAGGAGACGGCACTGAAACCACCACTCTATGGCACACTCTGTGGCACAGGTACAGCTCGCTCCCACAGGATAAAAATCAATCTCTAGCTGCCATTTCCTAAAGAGAGGGAGGGAGGGAGAGGAAGGCGCTCACTGAAGAGGTGAAAACGCGAACTGTACAGATTCTCCAGCCTCAAACGAGTCCTAGACTAATTTAACCGCCCGAAAACTCTGCTTGTGACTTGTAGGAGGTTTGAAATGCTTTCTTTTTGAACTCTTTTGTCCTCATTCACCGGTCGCACCGAATAGGGCACAAGAGACACCTCCACTATGCTTATCCAAATGGAACATGAATACAGCAAAGACCTCTGTATAGGATGTTTATATATAGATATGTATTTATGTATAGCAGCAGCAGCACAGTCCTTGTCGTCTGTGTGTCTATTTATTGATTTTGTTCACTGATTGACACAAAGTTCCTCGAAGCTTTGATGTGCCTGGTGGTTGTTTCTGTTCTTTTCCTTCAGTCATTTCTCTTCTTTCTTTTCCTTGTTCAATCTTTCGCTCACCTGCTCTGACTGTTTCATTTTCTCATTCCGGGCCGGTTTCCGGCGGCAAACTCCAAGTCACTGATTGCGACGGCTGTCCTCCTGTCCCATCGCTTGTTAACACTGAAATGCATGGCCCTCCGTAGGAGGTACCAACACAGTTTGATTGCGTCCACATTTGGGACGTTGACGATTCTAATAGAGCCCTAATGCTTTGCACAGCTGCAATCATATGGGACATCGTTCCCGCTTCCTAATCAAAGAATCCCCTTGTACGCGGTAGAAAAGGGACACCGGGTCTGACCTTTGTATGTTGTCTGTTGTAGTCTGCTTTTACCAGAGCCAATATAACCTGTGAGATGTATTTATATGATTTCGAATAGAAAGCCTCCGGCAATCTGTCATACGAGATGGTAGGTTTTAGTTACATCACCTAGGTGTTTGTATATTCTGAAACTGACATGCTATGTATTCATACAGCCGAGATGAGAAAAAAAAATACATATATTAAGTAGAAAATACAATATTGAGCACGACTATTCCGATTTTGTGTCAACAGCAATAAATTTACAATCGAACAAGAACTCACCCTACCTGAGCACTTTAAAGTCGTGATAATGAGCATCCCACAGCTGAAGCTGTAGTCTTTTGTGAAACTTACCAGTTGGATATTTTCGTCCTGAATGACTATTACATCACTAATAAATTGCTTCGATGGATAGCACTTTTGTTCAAGCCGCAATTTACTCCTTTTTAGCAAATGGATGATTTGTAGAATTGTCTTTGGGCCCAAATGTTTGACCTCTTATTCCTGCGGAGGTATCAGATGTCTTAATGGTGTCAAGTGTAACGCTCTGGAGTAGGAAACACAGAATGACTCACACATAAAACTGTAGCACTGTGCAAGAAACTATTAGATTTGCCTAGATATTTGCGATAGACAAAGAACAAGATGGCAGAAGGGAAAAAACAACCTTTTTTAATGTAAGGGAGATGGTCACATCACTTTCATTCTATATGAAGCACCTTACATTATCTTTGTATTCTACTTTGATTTGCCAACCTGTGAAGTAAACTGTATATAACTGTTTTATGTATGTTTGAGCTTTGGAAGTTTATTAAAGTCTTTTGCATTGTACTGCACATTTCCATGCGTCATTTATTAACCAAACAGTTTCACTCTCATATAAAAAGTCAAAAAATCTGTCTGTTCTGTACTGCACATTTTCTGCATCATTTAATAACCAAACAATTTCATCTTCATTTACAAGGGGCTCCTGAAAATCTTTGGAAAATGTCTTTAAATGCTTTCTTTCCAGATTGTAAGATTTAATATTAATATTAATAGTTTAATATTCAAATATTAGTATTGTTTTTTAAATGCATTAACAATTTACATAAAACAAAAGGTGCACTAAGCAAAATAATAATAATAAAAAGAAGCTTAATACCTTTTTTTTCCACCAGATCTGTATATTAGTTGCTGGTAACTAGGCAACAAATATTAGTATCATTGTATAATATAACATATATATTATTATAAGTGCTTGACATTAACTTTTTTGATCACCAGCCACTGTGGCTATTAGAGTTCCAACATTACTAGCCACTCGCCATTTTCACTAACCACGATTTTTATGTTGGAAAAATATTTTATATGCATAAGTTTGAGTTTGATATGCTAAAATAACTTGATTTAGTGTTATGTTCACTTGCCTTTTCATTCACTTAACTTTTTGTGTGTGTGTTGTGTGTGACCTTGCTCAGTGAGCATGAGAAAATGGGTTGTGGTTTTATAGCCGCATAGCAATTTTTTATTATTTCACATGACGTTTCAGGGCTCTAAAATTAAGGATTTACCAAATTTATCTCTGACCACAAAAAAAAAAAAAAAAAGTATTTCTTAGCCACAAATTTTAAACGGTGTGTCAAAACAAGCAGAATATAGCTGTGTACATGCACTTTTCAATGAAAAAAATAAATAAATAAAAAATTGAGATTTAAAAAATATGTAAAAGACATGTATCATGTCTGTCTTGGCTAAAGGTCTCATATCACCAGGTACTTATAGATAAATGGGAAGTTAATTTCCTGTTAAAATAATGTTAATGTAAAAAAAAAAAAGATAATTAAACTATATTAACAAAAATAACTAAGTAGAAGAAAGCAGGTGAAAAACATGTGATAATATAAGCATGATCACGCGCACACATGTAATGTTAGGTCCATTAATAATCTGTTCAAAGAATGGTTGAAGAAAAAACCGCATCTGCTGCTGCTTGCACATTTAAAAAAAAATAAAATAAAAAATCTGAAGCTCTTAAAAAGCAGCAGGACTGTGGGTCCACGAGCATCACTTTTGACCAGTCCCTTTCAAATAAAACCGATCGCACTAGTTGCGTTTTCAGGCATGGTTATTAAAAATCATTTCCATGCAACCAGCCAAAGTGGTCTAGTGGGATTGCCTGTCTAACCTGCCAGAGGTAAAATTTACTTGCATTTGACGGGTTGCCGGGTATTAATGTCAAGCCCTGATTATTATTATTATTATTATCATTATTATTGTTATTATTATTATTATTATTATTATTATTATTATTATTATTATTATTATTATTATTATTATTATCAAATCTAACCATCATTCTGTTACAGATGTTATTTTTCTAATAAATTATTGCTTATTTTCTATTCATTAATGTCTTATCTGAAATATATTTTTTTGTTGAATTTTTTTGTTGTGCTTCATTCAGCTAAAATGCTATGGTGCTTTAATTAAAGCCAAATTAGCTCTAAAAAAACCCAAGCATACTCTACAGTCTGTGTATAAGTGTATAAATTATGCAACCACATTTATTTACCCCAGTTATGCAAGTGCACTGGAATTCATGCATCTTTTGAAATGTAGCTTTTTACAGCAATGAACAATTACATTTTTTAAGCTTCAGTGATCACACAACTGTATTTCCTCAACACTTTTTTCTTTTAGCAGGCCCAAGAGTCAGCCATTGTTCCCATGTATGTGGTTTCAAAGCGGCTGTTCCAGAAGTTCATATAAAAGAAGGCAGAAATGAGAGGCGCAATGGAAAACAATTTAATTGCTTATCAAAGTTACTTTAAATTGCAAGACTGGAGAGCTAATCATTTCCCTTGAGGGAAATATGTCCTTGGTGATTAGAGAAAACGGTGCACATGCACTACGTTGAGCTTGTATCTATTTTTTTTTTCCTTAGGTACTGTGCAAATGTCAACTTGCTATTAATATCGCAATGCAAATTCTCAATGTGCTAAACTCTGTGTACATTCATGACTATGTTAGCGTGCGCAGTTCCTTAATATCACCAAACACATTTGCTCTTTCGTCAAAAATTATATTGCTCATTTCTAGATAAAAAAGTTTTAGATAAATATAAAGCCATGATTTGATGATTATGTCAAAATACGTTAAAGATAATGTACAATCCGCATGGTAATGTTTCGTTTAAACAATACAGCTGTAAAGAGTTCAACATATATTGAATTGATGTGATTTTACAGAGCAGTATTATTTGGCACAAGCAAATGATCAATATGTCATTGTAGTAGTTCTTTTTGTTTAAATATTAGTTCAGCTTATTAAAAGTTCAACTCAGTTTTCTTGATGTCATACAGTCTGGTTTTAAGTCCATTTAATGTAATGTTTATGTTGACCTGTAACGTTAACTCGATTCAGCTTTATTTAAGTTCAATTTTACGCCTTTCTATTTATCCCCCCCCCCCCATTGCCATAATGGTGTCAGAAAGTTTAACCCGGTGCAAAAAAATCAATCCGCTGCATCTGACGATCATGCTGTGTTGTTAATCTAACGTAAACACACCAATCCTATGAAAAAAAAAACAATAATTGAAAGACTGATGGCTTTTCTTTAGCATGTTGTTGTTTTTATGTAATAATTAAATACTATTGTTCTTCTTCTGTGGGTTTTGAATAAAATATTGTTATTCTAATAGTTTAATAAAATTTATTTGTCCTTTGGAAATCACCAAGCAACCCCCTGTTATTGTCTTGTGACCCCCCGGTGGTCTCGACCCCCACTTTGGGAACCAATGCTGTAGACTATCAAAAAAAAAATCTGTTTAGCTTATAGGGGCTTATAATTTTCACCTTAAAATGTTTTATTAAAAACAATGAAAAAATGCTCTAATTCTAGCCAAAATAAAACGTATAAGACTTTCTCCAGAAAAAAAAAAAATAATAATAATAATATCAGGCTTACTTTGAAAATTCCCTTGCTCTGTTAAGCATCATTTGGGAAATATATCAAAAAAGAAAAAAAAAAATAGATTAGAGAGAGAGAGGGGGGCCATATATATCAGCAATTCCATGCAAATGTCATCCTTGTCATGAAAAAAAAAAGTTTAAGTTTTCACCAAAATAGAGAAATCGTTTTTAAATTTTTTTTGTGTAAGCAAGAATTTTTCAGTGCTTTAAAAATTCTCTAAAATGTTTCTGTCAATGTTTTCAAACAGTTATATTTGATTAACCAAAGTCAAACAAGTGGCAATTTATCTGTCACATCTATAACGGAAAAGTGCCACATCCATAGTTGTTTAGTTGTTTTGGAAAATATAAACAGATGTTTCAATAAAAAGGTAACATACTTTCTGTGAATTTATGTTTTGAGTTATTTACAGCAAATGTCACAAATGCTGGAATTGCTCATATTAAAATATATATTTCAATATATTACAATGCATGCAGGGTTAAATCCCCTAGGAACGGGTTGTTTAAATGTAAAGCTTAAGTGCAGTGTAAGTTGTTGGCAAATGCACAACTGTAAAAATCACTTTATTGTTTGTTTGAGGGAAAGGAGAAAAAAGGCTGCAGTACTGCATGATATAAAAGACTATCACAGTTCTGTAGAAAAATCTGTTGCTTTGTGCCACTGCAGTGTTAAGTGGTCATTATACAAATGCAGAATGCTGCAATCGACCAATCACAGTCAAGTATCCCAGTGAGTTTTACTGTCTTTGCATTTAAAGAATGGGCAAAAATCTTCCAACAGATTGGTCTCCATCTGCTTGCAAATTATGTTTCTTAAAGATATGTAATTTAGCCATTGTTATTCATCAAATTGACTGTGACAGCTGAGGAGAGCTTTTTGCATTGGCTCTGCTTGATTTGTGGCATTGAGCTTAAATGTATTATTTATTTGACAGCATTTAGAGGAAGGCGAATTTCCATTGTATTGCAAAGAAATGGTTGCTGCATGTAATGGATTATGAGGCACTGTGTGGTGCACAAAGCTGACATACCTGTACTTCTGCTTATAATCTAATAAAACAAACTGTCAATAAGGAGTCTAAAAGTTACAGGCGCAAAATAGAAATGCCCCAGGGATTGAGCGCATTAACCTAGAACAACCTTTAGCAAGTGCATTTAATGCATGGAAATACTTTACTCACAAAATTAGACATTTCATAAGTTTTATTTAAAATAATAGTTTGATTTATTAGATGAATTTGTATTTTAAATTTGTATTTCACACATGCTGTTATTTTGAGCATGTTATGCTCTAATGAAATAGTTTTGTGAGGTTTGTTATTGAGTTCTCGTTCCTGCAGAACCCTGCGCACAATGTGTAAAAATTAAGTTAATAATAATAATAATAATAATAATAATAATAATAAAAATAAAAATATACAAGCAGTAAATCATTTGTTGTCGTTGTATTAAACTGTAGCAATCAATTATTTATTGTTTTAGTTTAATTGTGGTCATAAATTAAGAATTTATCAAGAATTCTATTTTTAAATAAAATGTCATCCTGACTTAAGAATTACTTACTATAAATTAAATTATTTAGCTAAAAAAAATAATATCTAAAAATATTTATTTAGCCATGATCATGTAATTGATTCACTTTTTATTAAAACTAATAATTTATTCCCACAAGTCAAGAATTTGCACACAGTGTAAATAATTATTTGTCATTGTATCAAATTGTAACAATTATTTATTTGCTTGTTTTAGTTTAATGGTGGCCATGAATTATTATTTATGAATTTATTATTACTAATGAAATTGTGATCATAAAATAAGAATTTCTTCCCATAAATTAAGAGTTATTTCACAATTTATTAACATATTTTTTTTTA